CTTGTGTTTTGTGTTGTATGTCTGTGTGTGCATATGTCCATATTTCATATATGAGGCGCGCTCATGAAAAAATGGATCCGAATTTTTTTATTCACGTCATTTAAATGGTTTAATTTAAATTAGGTAAACAGCTGTTAAGGATTGTTTTTAAACGAGGTTAACAGATCTGTTTGTTTACTTTCACCTTTCCTTTTCATTATATTTAATAATTCTTTTCAGGATAATGTCTCTTTAGCATCATTGCCAGAACTCCTATCTTCATCCCAGTGCTGGTGAAGACAAAGATAAAACCAAACTACAGCTTCTATGATAGCTATCACAATAAACTGTATAAACTGATGCATCAATGAATATAACTCAACAAGCAATGCTCAATCAAGGAGTCAACTTACTTTGGGAGGAAATGGACATATTGAAAGATTCCTCTGCTTTGAACTGCTTGCAGAACTTGCCTGGACTATGTATCACTTGTATACATTGTGAACTATCGTTTTGTTCAGCGAATTGTGATAGTGCTGGCATATCTTTGCTGATGGTGTCACCAGTGATGCAATTTTTCCAAAGGAGCCATCAATTGGCTTGGTGTCGTGGCATTTCTGTATCCTCCTCCCTTCTGCTAGTGATGGTCTAAAATTTGGGGGCCAACAGAGGTGAGGCAAAGAACCTCACCCCCCCACTGGCACCAAGGCCAAATTTGGGGGCCAACAGAGGTGAGGCAAAGAACCTCACCCCCCCCACCGGTGCATAGGCCTATCCACAAGTATGGTTGTATGCTGGACCAGTAGTCAGTGACAGGTATGATCCAATTGCAGTGGTATCAACCTAAGACAGGAGGCTGATGCCTAGAGGTCAGTTGATCCCATTACAGTAAGAACCATATGTTGAATTGGACAACCTACCAGGCATGGTCCCTAAGCCACATTGCTTATTGTTTAATTAATCAGAAGGGGGGAGATGCTGAGAGCCATAGCTAAGTAGGTACTACACATGGCAATTTCCTTGTCAGCCTACCCCATGTTGCTTAGAGGAAGGACTCTCCATTGTGGACCCAGGTCATTTGCAATAACTTTGCATGAAAGGTGACCTTGCTCAAGGACCAGGGCGGATCGGGGTTTAGGGTGGATCAGGGTTTAGGGCGGTTCCAGGTTTAAGGTGATTCCTGCTGGGAATAGGGCGTATCCTGCTGCCTCCAGCGCCTTGAGTTCCCGTTGAGTTCTCGTGGGATTCAGAGAGTATTTGGGATTCAGAGCCCGGTGGAGAGTGTGGATTTTGCCCAGAACGTGTGTGTAGAGTGCGGGTGACAGTTCGGGAATAAAGAATTGCTGTTTGAATCTACAAGGCTGTGAGTGGCTCGTGATTTTGTGCCCAGCCAGACTGTGGCATTATACTACAATAAAACCCAATTTCACTTGCTTTCCACATGGAGACCAGCAGACCTTTTAAACCTGCTATCCTAAAACACTATTTATCTGGCTCTCCAAGTAAAGCCCAGAAGACCTGGGGATCCTTAGATAATACAGCACAATTTGCTGACTCTCTTGTAGATCCCAGCAGCTTTGGTCTCCTCCCTTTGGAGAAACTTTTTCCTTTTCCTACACATAGAGGTCAGCAGATCTATGAATCCTGCCATAATGGAAGGCCAGTTATATGGCTCCCCACAGAGCCAAGAAGATATAATAGGTTTGTCATTATAGATCCCAAGAACCACGGTTAGATCTCAACAGTTCTGAGAATTCTAATATCATAGAAACTGTTAACTATGATCTTCATAGTGCTCAGCAAGCTTGTGTGTCCTTCCATCATATAAGATGAGTTCCATGGTTCTTCACAGAGTTCTGGAACCAGTATAACTTCCTATAATAGAAATCCTTTTCTGTGGTTATACACATATAGCCAGAAACTCTGGGAGTGGTACCATAAATAAAGCACGAATTCCCCAAGTCTCCATGTAGAGTCCAATAACAATGTGAGTCCTGGTATCATAGAAATCAGTTCACTGACTTTAACCCTAACCCTAACCCCTGACCCTAATCCTAATCCCTAACCCTAACCCCTAACCTTAACCCTAACCTTAATCCTAACACTCTTACTTTAAACTTAACCCGGCAGTTAGCATTAACATTATTGAGCTACATTACCTATAATCCTTAGGGAAGTAGTTCTTTGGATTCTCTGCAGCTAGGTGGCAGTTTTGAATATTGCATTGCCACAGTCCTATGGTCCTTGAAGCTTTCAGGTGTTCCTGCAATTAGTGGTTGCTAGACTACATTACTCACCATCCTATGAGGACATGTCTCCCAGAATCCCTGCAGTGTTCAGTCAAATTGTGAGACTGCCTTACCCATAATTTTTAGGTAGGAATTTCCCAAGATCCTCTACATTGAGAAAGTAAGGCCAAGGACTACATTTCACACAATTCTAATGGTTAAGATCCTTCAAGTGTCTATCAGTGAGCAGTCAAATTTGACTGCTCACTGATGGCCACTTTTTTATGCACAAGTTTCCCAGTAATCCCTACAGTCATCTGTCTGGCAAATTGTGAGACAACATTCACCACAATACTTAGTGAGGTAGTTTCCAGGATCCTCCATGGTAAGAGGGAAATTCCAAGGACTACATTAACCATAATGCTATGGCACTGTATGCCCCCAAATTTTCCTGCAATGCAATAAATTGCAAATATTCATTACCACAATCCTAGATGGACAAATTTCCCAGGATTCTCTGCAGTAAGTAGGCACATTTTGGGATTATATTACCCACAATTATTAGGGAGGAAGTTCCCAGGATCCTCTGCAGCAAGAGGAAAATTCCAAGGACTACCTTGGACACAATTCTAAGGAGCAGAAACCACCATGGTTGCCTATCAGTGAGTATTCAAGTTAAATTACAGTGCCCACAATCCTTTGGGAACTGAATAAATTTTGCATGAATCATTGCAGTTTGCAGTCAAAATTGGGACTACATTATCCACAATCCTTGGGAAGTTTCCAGGATCCTCAATAGTGAGGGGGCAATTCCAAGGACTACATTGTCCACAATCCTAAGGGGTGGTAAACACCAAGGTTATCCAATGGGCAGTCAAATTGAACTACAGTTCCCACAATACTTTTTGAACAAGTTCCCATTGGGCAGTCAAATTGAACTACAGTTCCCACAATACTTTTTGAACAAGTTCCCATGAATCCCTGAAGTAAGCAAGTAAATTTTGGAACTGTATTACCCCCAATTCTAAGGAGGTAGGAAGGTCCCAGAATTCCCCACAGTGAGTGGTTAAACCCAGGACTAAATTTTCCATAATTTAGTTATACATAATTATCTATAATTTTCTAAAAGGAAAGATCCCAAAATTCCTCATTGTGAGATCAGTTTACCCACAATCCTAACATGGGCAGAAGCTCTCACAATTCCCTAAAGTTATCAGGTAAAACTTGGACTATATTACTCACAATCCTGAAGGGAGCAATATCCCAGGGTACCCAGTGCCAAGCAGAAAAATTGTGGGACTACATTGTGCACAGTTCTAATGGAAGGAAGTTCCCAAGATCCTCTGCCATGAGTGGTGAACCCAGGAATATAACATGTTTAGACTAACGTTTAAGAAATCCTAATTCCCTGCCAGGAGCAGGCTAAACTACGGACTACATTACCCACAATTACAAGAGAAAAGGCAGCTCCGGGCATCCCTAGTGGTTCTCAAGCAAAAAAAAAAAAAAAAAGGAGAGGGGTATCTTATTCATAACCTTAAGGCAAGAATGTTCCAGGAACCCCTGGGTCTGTGGTAAACCTGAGACTGCACTTTTCAAATCTTTATGAGGGAAGAATCTCACAGAATCCCACAGTGCATGATAAGCCCAAGACAACATTATCCAGAATCCTAACTGGGGAAAGGAACTCCCATGAGTCCCTGCTGCTATCAGGAAAACCTGGGAAAAGATTACCCATAATCCTAAAAAAGAGGAAATGGGATACTGGGAACTTCCTCCATTTTAGGATTATGGGTAATGGTATTCCCATATCTCCCCCCCCCCAAGTGGTTATATCTAGAACTATGCTGCGCCCCTCCCCTGACTCAGGCAATGGCAAGGCCCTACTGAGGTGGATGGCGCAAGGCGTCCATCCTCTGGAGGAGCGCAGTATGTTTCTGGGAATGGGCTGGTTTGGTTTTGTATTCCTTTAACAATTATAGTTGCAACTTCTCATATGACCATTAAGTATGAAGGAAAAAACATGACTTTCCCAATTAATGCATCTACTTCTAAAGAATAGATCTGTTTGCTCTAAATGCAATGATTCAGCTGTGGAGCATAAATTGTTAATGTCTAATGAAAAACTCCCTGTATTCATGTCAAGGAAGTTTTTGAGAAATTAAATTAAAATCTAGAGAAGAAAAATTAATGTTAAGAGGACAGATTAGTGCTTAGTACTGGGCAACTTGTTCTTGTTCTTGTGCACAATGGTTTGTGCTCTTACTCTTGTTTGATTAAAATTAATAACAAGTCAACCACTTGCCGTAACCATGGCACCGGTTCCAGTCAGTAAGTCAAGAAAGAATAGTCAAGGTATAGGCCAATAGTTTGGGACATTTCTAACTATTATTAAAAGTTAACTAAGCAGAAACAGCTCAAAGCAAAACGCGAACTGAAAGTACAAATGCTTGCTTATGCATAAGCCAAGATACATTCTTCTATTCTAATTGTAGCTACGTAATATTTTTTTTCTTTGAATAATGATTCCTGTTTTGTAACCACAAAGTACTGTGAGCCTGCCAAAATGAAAAGTATATATGATCAGCTTCACAAGTAAAGATTGGGATCAACACCTTCACTTTGGTGTCTGTGTTGTTTCTCCACCCCCCTTTCGCCGACTCCTCACCATCTGTTCATCTCCTGAGACCCCCTGTTGGAGCTGGTCTCCGACAGAACTACAATACCCACAATCATATGGACTGGAATCGCTCAGGATCCCCCAAGTGAGTAGTAAACCTGAAATTACATTACCAATAATCCTTAAGGGAAGAGTCTCCCAGGACAGCCAGCAGTGAGCAAGCAAATATAGGAACTTTAATTTGCAGAATTCTATGAAGAGGCATTTCCCAGGATTACTTGCAGTGAGCAGGCAAAACCTGGGATTACATAGCCCACAAAACCAAGGAGTAAGATGGCTCCCAGAATACCCAGCAGTGAGCAAGCAAATGTTGGGACTACGTTACCCATAATCCTTAGGACAGAAAGTTCCCACAACACTTTCATGGAGAAGAAAAATTATAAGACTACATTACCCATAATTCAAACAGGGAGAAAGCTCCCACAATTCCCCACATGTAGTACAGATTGTGCGACTACATTACCCACAACTCTATGAGGGGAGGAATTCCCCAAAGTGAGTGGTATGCTCATGACTACTTGACCCACCATCCTTACAGGAGGAGGCTCCCAGAATACCAAGTGGTGAGTGGGAAAATGTTGGGATTATATAACCCATAATCCTAAGTGGGAGGAAGTTCCCAAGATTCTTTGCACAAAGAGGACAAATTATAGGACTACATTACCCACAATTCTATGCAGAGTAGTTCCCAGAGTTGCCCAAAGTGAGTGATTTATTCATGACTACTTCACCCACCATCCTGATGGGAAGAAGCTCAGAATACGCAGTGGTGAACAGCAAAGTTTGAGACTATGTTATTCATAATTCTAAGGAGGGGAAGTTCCCAGAATTTTTTGTCAGAGTAGATAAATCATGGGACTACATTACCCATAAGTCCACAGGGAAGGAAGCTCCCACAAGTACACACACACACACACACACACACACACACACCATGCACAGTGTAATACATGGGACTACATGACCCACAATTCCATGGTGGAGAAAATTACCAGAATTCTTTGCATGGAGAGGGCAAAACATGGGACTGCATTACCCACAATCCTCAGGGAGTAGGCTCCCAGAATACCCAGCAGTGGGCAGAAAATTTGGACTACATTACCCATAAGACTAATAAGGAGGAAGTTCTCAAGATCCTCTGCACAGAGCCAATAAATCATAGAACTACATTACCCAAAATTATAACAGAGGAGGAAGATCCCACAATTTTCCACAGTTTGAATAAAATGTGGGATTATATTACCCACAATCCCATGGGGGGAAATTACCCAGAAATTCTCAACGTGGGCCATAAACTCCTACATACTTCACCCACAGTATTTTGTGGAGGGCCTCCCAGAATACCACACCAAAGAGTGGGAAATGTTGGAACTACATTACCCATAACCCTAAGGGGGAGGAAGTTACCTGGTTTTCTGGGGTCAGTGGTTAAATTTAGCACTACACTACCTATGGTTGCAGAAATTCAATGGTATCTCTTGGTTTTGAAATCTCACTAACCCTAGGTCTATGACTAATTTTTACCTAGCCCGACTCCTACTCCTAAAATTACTCAGATTCCTCATGATATAAAGGCAAGCATGTGGCATTCCGCTTCCATGGCTCTCCTGGCAGAGGTGTGTGTGTGTAAAATCCAGGACTACATCACGCATAATCCTTAGGGAGAAATCACGCAGGATCCCCTCAAGGAGAGCCAACCAAACCTGAACCCTAACTCTAACTTGATTGTTGTAATGTAGTTCGGCACTTTGCTGGCTCCTCATGGTGTTACTGCTGTTGACAGGTTACGAGTCCTTGTTTCCCCAATGTTGAAGAATAACACCAGAGAAGCATGCTTAGGCAAGGGCAGAGTAGAAATTAGAAGTTTATTAAAGGACAGCAAAAAAGACTTCTCCCGGAGGAAGAAGGGGACCCAAGAGGTGGAATCCATGGAAGTGCGGTTGTTTCCCCTTTTTATAGTTTTTTCAGTGATGGAATGTAGGTTGGAAGGCCTGAGGGCTGGGACACAGGTGGGCCAAAGAAGTAATCTGGGCAGGAAGGACTTCATTAACATTTCTTTGGGATGGGCTATCTTTAAATCTGCTGGGGCTGTTCATTAACATTTCTTTGGGATGGACTTTGGGCCTAGGGCTTTTCTTGGGACTTCATTAACATTCCATGAGTTGTCCTGTGTTTCTGGAATTCATTCAACATGGCCTCCATTTTAGATCTTACTCGATATTAGACCCGATTTACCTAACCACACTGACTACCTAACTTTAAATCTGGCTTCAATGGGGGATACTGAGAGCTTCAACTTTCTTAGAATTTTAGATCATTTAATCCAGAATTTTGCCCACTCATGGGACATAGCTGAAGAAATTCGCCTGCAAGCTTCTGACCCTGAAGCTTAGATTGTGGGTAATGTAGTCTAGTATTTGGCTGGTTCCCTGTGCAGAACCCAGGGAACTTCTGCCCCATTAGGATTGTGGGTAATTAATGTTAGGTCGGTGGTGGTGACTTGGTGGCGACTTAGTGGCAACTTAGAACAAAGCAGCCCTCACCGAAAAAGAACATCAATCAGATGCTGGTGGAAATACCTGTCAATCAGCCAGATCTAGATCTCCTGACTAACGCCTGTCAATCAGCGGGACCCCCTGGCCAATCCTGGAGTTCAGCCAACTCCCCTGACCAACTCCAAGGGGGCAAGAGACCCTAGGAACACCTTTTCCTGTCCTGACCCCTTCCCTTCCTGCTATAAGCCCCATAAAAGTCCAGTCTGGTCAAGCTTCCATGTGTTTTCTCTTCAGACCCTTCCCCTGTCCCCTCTGTGGGTCTGATCAAGTTCCACCCAGGAGTGATATCTCAATAAAGCCTGTTCAGTGACCCTTTTAAATCTGCCTCCTTTGGTTGCTGCCTGCCCCGCCTGATCTGACAATTAAGTCCCTTGTATTTTATGGCTCAGAGGGGTTGATTCTGTGCACTTCACTTCCCCCTCCCTGGATTATAGATAACGTAGTCTAGCATTTTGCCCACTCATAGGGTGAGGATGGGGGGAGAAGGGGGGGCTCTTGAGAGCTTCTGCTCCTGAGGGCTGAGGGTAATGTAGTCCAGTGTTTTTGCTGGCTCTTTTTAGGGAATCTGGAAGCCTCTGCCACCTCAGGATTGTGAATAATTTAGTTCCATGTTCTACCAGCTCACAGGAGGCAGGGGAGTCCTATGATTTCTGCCCCCCATGACTGTGAGTTATCACCACAGTGCCTTCTAGGTAATGTAGTCCCACATGGTAGAGGAATTCCTATGAGGTTCCCATCCCCACCCTCTGAGGATTGTGGGTACTATAGTCCAGTGTTTTGCTGGTTCTCTGTGGGAAACCCTGAGAGCTTCTTGCCACTTAGAGTTGTGGGTGATATAGTCTCACATTTTGCTAGCTCATGGGGGGCACTCTTGTGACCTTCTGTTGCACCAGAGTATTGTGGGTAATGTAGTCTAGTGTTTTCCCACATACACCTCTGTCAGCTGTCTATGTAAGCTTCAGGCTGCATGCTTGCCCAGACACCCTGAAGATTCTCAGTACTATGTTCCAGTGGCCTACCCATGCAGCTCTCACCACAGAGGACTATCACAGGTGCAGTCTGAACATTTCCCCCCAGGTATTCTGAGCAGTGAAGTGCAGTATTCTGGCTGTACAGCCCTCATCATGGAAGGCCATGTGAGCTCCAGGCACATTCACATGCACAAGCTCAGGAACTCTAGGCAGTGAAGTCCAGTCCTCATTGCAGAGACCTCTTGGAGCTGCAGGCACCCAAGGTTCATGGTTAGTATGTTTGATTGTTCTGTGCATGCATTCCTAATCCCAGAGGCTGAGAGCTGCGTGTCACATGGATATCCAGAGAACACTGAGGATTGTGCCACTGCAGTCTGGCATTCTGCTGCTCAGCCCCCACCATGGAGGCCTTTGGAAGCTTTGGGCCATGTGCTTGCCCTGGTATCCCAAGGAATCTGGGTAGTGTAGCTCAGTGATTGGCTGTCTGGCCCTCACCACAAAGGACTGTGGGAGCTGTAGCAATATGTTTGCCCAGGCATCCCAGAGATTCTGGGCAGTGTAGTCTGGCAGAGTTATCACCACAGTGGCTTCTGGGAATTATCAGGCAGGCCACTGTGTGCAGACTTACCCAGAAAGCCCTGGTATTGTCTACAAAACTCATTGTGTCACATAGTGGGAAGATATCTTCAATACAACCACAATATTATTGTCACATTGATACATCAACTTCTCAACAGTTTTCAAGTACTCTAACACTGGAAAAAATGAGCCATAAAAATAAATATAAACAATGAGGTGCCATTAGCCCTTTCCCTCATACACTATTGAGTCTCCACATGCTGGGAAACCCAGGCCTTCCCTGCACTATCCTGAGCTCGTTTCTCGGTTTCTCCTTTCAGTGTCCTGGGATTTTTCACCATAAAATGTACTTTAGGATACTATAACAATGAAGAGCCAAAGCCTCACAATGGATACTTTTATAAGTCTCACTAAAATTTTAACTACAAAAGTAAAAACAACAGAGCTTCTTCCTCAGCACATGGGATAATGGACAAGAGGCTTTTCCTCATTTCCCCCCACCTTTTCCTCAGATAGACTTCAGTAATACCAAAACCACAGTGGAATCCACATGTAGATGCCAAGGGGAAGAAATCTTGTGGTACACATTGTCCTCAGATGTCCCCAGCCAAGGCATCTCCCTGTGAGGGTACCAAGAGGCTCTGCCACAAGAGTCATGGCTCCAAGGTGCCTGCAGCCATGATCTCTTCCTGGGTGGGTTTCAAGTTTAGGGTTAGAAACTTGAAACATGTTTCAAGACATGGCCCCCAGGGGTCCCCAGCCACAGCATCTCCCTGTGTGGGTCCCAAGAAGAAGGAATCTTTTGTCACCACAGTCAGCCCCAATGGGTCTAAAGCCATGGTCTTCCCTGGTGGACCACAAGGGTGAGAATTAGGGCAGGCCTTGAAGGTTAGGGTTACCTCATTGTGGACATAGACTCCAGGTATTCTCAGCCATGGAATTTCCTCAGGTGAATCCTGAGAAGGAAGTTTGCTGTGGGCACAGGACACCTATCCCTGACAGAAAGATGATTCAAGGGGATCAGAAAAAGTCACTCTGAGAACCCCCTGCTGGCCACATGTCAACACATGCCTCCATGTTGCCAGCCATTGCACTCCTGGTGTGCACCAGGGAAAGTGAAGGTGAGTTCGCAGAGCACATGTGTACAGGAATGTTCACAGCAGCCTTCTTTGT